TACCTCGTACATTCCTCGCGTTGTCTCACCGAAGTTTCACGAAGAAATTCAGACTGTGATGTCCCTCAGTTCGTAGTTGATCTCGATCCACAAACGGCATTAGACATCTTATGCATAATACGTATAGTTTGATGCATAATACGCTGATCTAATCGAAACTCGTCCCTTGTTTCTTCTTCGTCGCGAATTATTCTATATCGTTACATGCAGGCATGTATATATATATATATTACGTGAAAGGGAAAAGGGAAAAAAGAAATAAAAAGAGATCTAAGGTTTATGATTTAATAACGAATCATTGCGTGTGATGCGTGTATTAATAAGGAGTGTATGTGATGCGTGGGTATGTATGGCGCGCGCGGGAGAGAAATGCCGAATATTAATTCGGTCGCAAAAAAAAAAAAACAAATGCATACTACGCTCGCGGAAGAATATTTCAATCCCCCTCACTCTTGTTAGCGAATTTGTGACACTCGGCGAAAGAACGAAGGTGATATTCATCCTCGCTCTCGTTATCGCCAACAATTTGAGCGTATTATGTGCGTTCTCCGTTTCACTTTTCACAGCCGTTTTTGCACGGCCTGGCAGGGGGGGGAGGGGTAGAGGGAGGGGGGAAACTTCGAATGAACAATCGTCGTTGATAACGTCCAAATTACAATGCGCACTTTGTACACAATCATTTTCGAGTCCTCGATAGTATTTTGACTTCTCTCAGAGACAGAGTATCGTATCGTTTTCTTCAAAACCGATCTTCGTGTAGATATTACTTATTGTAGTACCGTAGATATGTGTATGTACTAATTTATATAGAATTGCGCTAGAGAAAACATTTAGGCCACGTTGCATCGAGGATCATTGTACGAGCTCCTGGATTAGCGATTTCACGCGCGATTGTCCTTTCCTAAATTATTAATCCTATATACCTGATGTAGGACGAGAAATTAGTCCAGGAAATTAACGCCAATTGATACGCGGCGTCGGTGCAACCGAGCCTGAATGTATTGGAAAATTAATGATTAACGGACAGAAACACACTTGGGCGCGCCGAATTTATTTATAATTTTAAGCGGTCCTATTTTCTTTTTCTGTGTATAGCGAGTTATATAACTTACCTGTATATTTACCTGAATAGAGTTAAGATGAATTAACTGATATACTTCTCTTCACAGAGGTATTCTTCTACAACAAACAAACAAAAAAAAAAGAAATGAAACAAAAAAACTGGCCGATACATTGTCTATCGCGATACGTCAAATTTTGCAATAAATCTTTGGATAAACGTTAGTTTCGATCTGTATGTACAGTGGCGATTAGAGTGGCATAGTATTTCTTGATATAGATTTACCGTAAGACAATCTACTAATAAACTATCAAAACGACAAACAAGTAACGAGAATTATGATGAAAATCAATCGTCGATCTTGAAGAGATCATCAACCGTAAAAGAAACGGTCTCATTTGGAAATAACGAAATAAATCATTTCTATTTGTTGTATATCAGTCATTTGTTTCTGCAATTTCTCTCGAGAGTCGAAACAAAACGGTCAAGTTATTTATCTCTCTCTTGAAAATCCTTCGGACAAAGTAGTTGAATGTTCCTTGATTGCTCGAAGTGGCTATATTGCAAATGGAATAAATAACTGTGATTGTCTACTTACAGCTTGCGAATCTCTCTTTCTCTAAGAATTATTATTATTTGGATATGTACATACATCTTATTTGAACTGCATTTCTCGGTCCGTTTGGGATATAAACCATAAGCTTTTCTATACCAAACCAATGCGATATCAAATGTGAAAGCTAAAATTTAACGAACTAAATGACAAAAACTGATATCGATTATAACGAAATCTTCGAGTTTCGAGTCTCTTTTTCTTTCAAACGTCAAATATACATATATATATATATTTTTTTTGTTAATTGAATCTTCGCTGAAGATCGACGATGTGAATTCTCCGCCACTGTACGTCCTATATCGTTACTTAGGAAGGCAATAATCGTGGAAAGATTCGAATGTATCATGCAGTAACTGCCTTCGCCGATGTAATGCAAATGTAATCGCCGTTGTGAACTTTCGGCGGCCGATAGATTATATCGTTGATTTTACTTTCGTATTTATTCGTACGACTTAGGACGCGGAGGCTCTACTTCTCTCCGATAAGCTTTAGCTTGTAGATTCGTTTAGCGTGCTTGATGTTGAAAGAATTTTTGTCAGTCTCGTTCGTTGGCCCCTTATCTCATTCTCGTAAATGATTCTGACACAGCGGGCCGCCCGCTGCGGAAGCGGCCGCGGAGTGTAAAGAAAGAAAAAATGTGTACGACGTTCGCTTGTGTGATGTTACAATACCAAAGTCCGGACAAAAGCCTGTCGCATATATAATTTAATTTACTCGGTGTAAGTTTTATACGATCGATCAACTTGTTATTTCTTTGGATGTGCAATGAGAAAAGGTGACGCTCGGAACGAGAGCAAGAGGAGAATATTAATGCGAAAAAAAGATGAGCTTTCTCACTGATTTTTAACGCAAAAATAGATCCGTAATTGTATTAGTTCGATCGATCAATCTGAGCAATATTTTTCTCAATGCACAACAACACGGTGCTCAGTATTATTTTCTTTACGAATCAACGCTGTACAATTTTTAGCCACGCTCTATTTATTTCGCAACCCGATGAATAACGACTGACTCCTGTGCGAACTGCTAAAGCAATTTTAAATGTACTCGTCGCCGCACGATGTTAATACATATCGCGCTTTGTGAAAAAGAGTATCGCGAATTGAGAAACGCCTTTGAAAAATCAAACCGGCCGTAAGTTGGGCGTACGTTTTATTCGAGGGTTTCGTTTTTATTTGAAAACGTTCTAATTTTCGTCGATAAACGACACGCTAAATAGAGATCTATAATATTCTAAGAAGCCCTCTCTCATTAGGATCCCCCGTCGAGTCGCGATACTCTTTCTCCCAAGACAATAAAAAAAGCAAGGATTCTACGCGAATATGTTCTTGAAATATTTATGAAGTAGTGACTTGTCTAATTAAATATAGGGAACACTCTCAGGAACGCACTTTCGATGTTAATTCAAAATTCAGGAATATCGAATTTACTCGAGGGTTTCCGCGAGATCCAAATAGTTTTAGCAGCTGAAACGAGTTTAAAAAAAATCGGCGACATTACCTTCTTCTCCCGTTCTAGATTGGGCGACGTTGCGCATGTCGCTCGATATGATCTCAATTAATTAATTACTGAAGAAGAATCGTCCACGAGAACGAGAAAAGAGGAAGCGAACAGGGCGCGACGCTGTTTTCTTCCACGATGTAAAATCGATTGTGGCGAAATATGCCGGGATGTATTGTAAAATGACACTAACGACATTAATGATTGTAACGACAAATGTACAAAAAAAAACAAAGACAAAAAAACAAAAAACGAAATTATGTCCGACACGCGCGTGAGACATCGTGCGAGATGTTAGCTCGCGAAAGAGACGCTTCATCACGAGCGGTTGCTAATACATAAGGGAAAAAAAGACAAAAACGATAAAACGAAAATAAAAGTATACAGCCATACCGCATACGCATGCTATTTTTCTTGAAAAGTTTCTCGTCCTTTTAATTACGACTTACAATATATACAATATGTGGATCTGTATTCGCATTGTATACATTTCGCTGATCGCCGCAAGTTTGACTTTTGAAGAAAGAACATTCTGAGAGTTCTTTCTGAGAGGGACACTTTGATGCAGACAAGATATAATCGTGTGGATTTACACACACACATAGTATATATATATATATATATGCAATGACAACACTGTATACAGAGTGCCGTATTTTAAGTCTAACCGAATATCTCAAAAACTGAACTCGGCAAATAAAAATGTTTCAAACAAAAAGATGATGGATGATCTGGAGGATAAATGGTAAAATTAATTTTCAAAAAAAAAATCGATTTTTTAAAGTCATATTTTAAATAGAATCATATGATTTTTATACATAATACAATTTCTTTACATATTCTACATATAAAAATATTAAGATAAAGTTATCAAAAAAAGTAATAGTTGACGAGATTTTATACTTTATTCTAGCGTATTTTGACATGAAATATCTTCCGAGCTATTAATTTTCCTATTATTTTGAGAATTTTAGTATTTTCGTACACAGAATAATCAAATAAATTAATTGATGTAAGGAAAAACACATAGCCGCTTTAAAAAAAAATTATACAATTTGCAATATGCAATTATATACTTTTACGTTGAGATACGTATAGATATAAATATATTGACATAAAAAAAATATTAATAGCTGTCATTTCTCTATCATGGAAACAGATTCTAATATATTATAATATAGATCTATAACGTTATGTCCATCATCGATCATGCAAAGGAGTGCTCCAAATTGTTAATTAGATTGTCAAATACGTCTGCATGTTAAGTTATTCTCACTTTCGATCTTTTTATTAATTAATTAAAATCAGGCAATTTTGTTCTAGACACACGCGAATACAGATCAAGAAATCTTTTCTGAATTTAATTTAATAGAAGATCTATTTGACATACATACATGTCATCGGTCTCAAGGAAAAAGTTACTAATATTCAATAGACGACGAGATAAAGCGACTTTAACTGCAAATAAACTTTAATCGATTTTTTAATCTTGATTTAATTATTTCTTCCTTTTCCTTCAGTGCAATTTATCTCAGGTATCTCACATTCCAGTAATTTTCTCAACGAGAACTTTTAATACACACCTTCCAAGACCGATTGGCACAGTACGCTGTACAGAGAACAATCTAATTTTACAAAAATCGAGCTTTATCCTTAAGGCCAATGACGTAATAATGATAATCGATTAATAAGCTATAAGTATCTTTGTTGCGCGCAGCATGATTCTCCCTTAGAAACGATTTTCGCGAACGAGTTCCGTGCACGAAGAATCCGCTTCCTCACCGATCCTCGTATAATAAAACCATTCTGTATTTTTTTTTTCAGGTGGTAGCCAGTCGGTGGCCAGTTACGAGGACCTGAGCTCAAGCAGTTTCAGCTCCGCTAGCAGGGCATCCCTGGACGCGAGGAGTTCGCCAACACCGTCGTACGGAGCTGAGAACATGATGGTGTTTCCCGGTGATAGCAGTGGCTCCATTTGAGATTATTTGAGATGCACAGCCATGCTGCCCAAGTGGCTGCGCTGCCTCAGGTAAACAGAGAGCAAGGACAAAGAAGGAAGAAAGAAAGTGATGTAGGAAGAAAAAAGGGAGAAATTCTTCTCAGAAGAGGAGTCCTTGCTCCTGAAGGGTGAAGCCGCTTCGCTGCGCCGTGCCATCGCTCGGCTCTGTCTTTCCACAGTCCGTCAGCCACACAAAACTCTGTTTTTCTAAAATTTCGTTGATACGGAATATATCACAAAGTGGGACGGACGAGAGGCACAAAGTGCAGGAATAGAATAAGAGATAAATAAAATAAGGACAATGCGTGCGCGCGCGCGCGCGCGCATGTGTATGGGTGTGTATCGTGTGTATGTGTGTGTGTGTGTGTGTGTGTATGTGTGTGCATGAGTGAGAGGGATATTAACGACGAGGAGTGCGCTGTGTCGAAGGAAGAGAGGTGGATGATAAGAGGAAAAGTCTCCAGCCATTCGCGTGAGCTGACCGCGACATTTTCTACGAGGCGCGTGTAAAACGTATAGAGTCAAATGCGTTTTTCTTCTCCGATGAGAGTCACGCGTTTCGTATCTTGTTTCCTCTTGTTGCCTCTTCGCTTATTCCGTTCGCTTATTCTGTGTGCGCGATCACGCGGGGCACGACGCTCTCCTCTCTAGCACAACTCTGTACAGTCCTCTGTATCAGACTGCGCATTGGAGATTGAAGATGCAGCAAATGAGAGATTAGAGTTGATCAAAACGAAACGGATTCAAATTCAAATTATCCGATCTGCAAGTTCTGATCTATTCAATTTGCAATCCTCAAACCCCGATGCATCGTCTGATACGGGCTTGAGAGAGGGCCGACTTCTTCCCCTCCTCCCCCCCGTACAAAACTAGTGGTGTAGGAACGAGAGTGACTTTCGTTACGTACTCGTGCGTAAATCTCGCGCAATTTCTGCAAGAAGAAAAAGAAATCACGCTCGGTGAGAGCGTCACAAGACACAGATTACGTTTCTCGAGCCCTCGATCATGCTGCAATTGACGTCTGAGAGACTATTTTACGGTAAAGTTGATACGCCGATTATCAATCCCTATATTTTTGTACTTTTTCGTATCTCTCTTCGTGGACACATGCACGCACGCACGCACGACGTACGTTCCCCGAGTCTGCAGTCTGCGTTTGTGATAATTGCATTTTATACACATCCCCTCTTTCCCACGTGCAATTCGCCGGTGTGTAATGCTCGTTATTTGTTATTCGAATGTACGAATATATTCCCGCGTGATTTTCATGAATGTCATTTCTTCCCGCTCCATTCGCGTTCTTTCATCGGAAATATTGATCATTTAAGCGACCTTCGTGGAAGGAACGGTTTTTCTGAAGTATAGATATAAAATATATGTATAAAACTTAGGCCAGAAAGTATACATAAAATTTAGTACATATAAAAATTAAGTCGGGTAGTGAAAATAATTATGTTGGACGCTCAAAATGATTATGCAGAATGTGATAATACTGTAAAAGATTTTGATATTCTAACAATCGATTTTGAGCGTCCAATGTAATTATTTAGATGATTTAAAATGATCTAAATGATTAAGCATTATGATAATATTGTAAAAGATTTTGATATTCTAACAATCAATTTTGAGCGTCCAATATAATTATTTAGATGATTTGTGATCAACACGATTTGTTTCAGATTTATATCTGGCTTAATAAATTTTTACATACTTTAACAAAATCATTCTTTCCATGTATAAACGATGCGTTTGCTCGACAAATATACAGATATACAACAACTGTGTGTAACAAGTGGTAACAGTTGTATTTCAGGTTGATCAAAAATTTACTATTTCTATAGAAAAAAGAAAACAAGCAATAATGATTATAAATTCTGTAATACATTACAGCGGTTTATAATCATTGATTCTTTTTTTTTCAATTCCGATGAGAATTGAAATAAATTCAACGATTTCAATTGGATACATTAAATGCGTAACATTCGTTAATAAATATAAAGGTGGAGTAAATTAACGAAACAGATATTTTTACGGTATATTATTTACATTCTTGTTAAATGAAAAAACGCATCGTCTAACGATGGTTTAACACGAGGAAGATCGCGTATCGTGCGTACTAAAACAAAACCAATTTTCTTCGAATTCGTTCCTACCCCATCATTCGGTCGTGAGCGATTGATCTGTCTATCATGCGAGATATCCCAGATTGAATAGAGAGTTCTCGATGTTTAGAAGTGTCAGCAGCGGGACGAGATGTGAACGACGTCGGTTTATAGCTAGTACTAAGTATAGATCCCGATAAGATCTCGCGAGAAACGCGTGCGATGTAGCGCGCCAGAGTATACCACGAAAACTTGGCAATTCATATGTATATAGGTATACATATGTAAATAGATGCTTTCTCTCTCTTTCTCTCTTTATCTCTCTCAGCGAAAATACATGTACGAGGACTGTTTCCTCGAACATTGGCGAAGTTCAATCAAATTTCCTCTATCCTCTTTCACATCATAGATATTATAACAGACTTTGTGAATTTCATTTATCTCTCTGAGAACTTTTCGCTCTCCATTACGTCTTATCCTTCTTAACAAAGAAAGCTTAGACAATTACCAGAAAGATTCATTAGTCTTTTGACGATCGATTCATTAGTCTTACTTGGAAATCTCTTTTACTTGTGACCTAATTGGGGAGCAACACGTAAGAGTAGAGAGAGACATCGATCTAAATCTTGCAACTCGATTAACATTGATAAATATTTGCAGTACTACTTCCTCGTTGTAAAAAACGCTTACCGCTTCGGCGGACCTATAACGATGAAGCTTGATTCAAGTCTGTGTAAAACTGCAAATTGAATTAGAGACCAGGCGCAACTAACGCGCCAAGCTCTAAATACGTACGCAGATACGTACAGACGCAGAAAACAGGGTAGAATCGCGAGTCTCACGTAGCAGAATTTCCGAGAGACCTTTTAGACCCTTTGCCCGATTTTCGTGGAATGCCCAGCGTATGCGCGACTCTTCTTTTTTCTAAGTGATATATCTAGAGTAATGATTAGCGAATAGCGCGCGCGATCGGTGCCATCGGGACTCGAAAAAAAAGCGGAAGATAGCGATAGATTAAACTATAGTAGATAATGCGCGCGAGACTTTTGTAGTATTATCTCCGTCGTGCGTACACATAGGTGATGAGTAGTTTTTTTGTAGTTGAGCAAAGAGGACACGCGCCGCTCGTCACAGGCGAATTGTAGAGGAAAGTGTAATAGTTGCTTGGTGGAGACATTGTTCAGCGTGCTCTCAAGGCAGACTTCGACTGTCCAATCTTTTCTCATTTTCTATATTTAATCTTTTATCTCTCTCTCTCTCTCTTTCTCTCATATCTATACTCTATATTTAATTTTCTATCTATCTATCTATCTATCTATCTATCTTCTCTCTTCTGAATCTTTGATCTTCACTTTCTTTTGCAGCGACAAGCGTAGCAATATGAAAGTAACAGATGAAAAAGAAAGTTTTTAAGCGTATTTCACAAACATTCTTTTGAACAGGCATTACTAATCGCATCTGCTTTTAGAAAGGAGAATCGTCTCCCTTTTTTTTTCTTCAAACGAAGATTAGTAAGCGTTTAAGGAGATATATTTAGAATATCGGAACGTGAGGAACACTTTAATTTCATACTTCCGAATGGATATATTTCGATGAAGAGTTCTAGTGCAACGCAAATATATTGTGCCGGCGTATATGCACGCGTGTCTGTCACCAGCACACCGAGTTGAGAACAATAATATTTTTAACTCCTTGGATGCATAAACATTCTAAAAACATTCTTGCTCGCAGAGACAGTAGAAAAATGATTTCGATTCAATTTATATCGCTGAAGAAAATTGTCCAAGACTCCGGAAGATTCTTTAGATGAAACGATTGGATCAAAGATACGGAGCGAGGTAGAGACATAAAGAGGTACGAGATCTCGACGATCTTTCTTTATGCGTCCAAAAGTTAAATCGCGTTCTCGCTGCTGCACTAAATCAAATAGATGCGCATGCAGCACATGTATATTTTTCTACCTCTTATTTTCCCGACAGCGCCACCGAGGAAATTAGGCAGGACGAGTCCGCAGGCTCCGATGCGCGATGCAAAAAAATAATACAGATCGTAGCTAGTAATTATTATTGTAATGATAATTCACACACACACACACATACACACACACACACACACACACCCAACATATATATATATATATATATATATATATATATATTTATATTTATATGTATAGAGCGATTATATCCCTTGGACACACTCTCGAGAGACGATTAAGAATCCTCGATATATCGGGAAATCTCTTGCATCCTGTCGCTTTATACTTACAACACGATAGACAAATCAATTTTATATTATCATTCATAATGAATTGCACAGATCTCGGTAGAGAAAGAGTGTTGCGGATGCAGCTATCTCCCAGGATAAAATTGAATTTGCAAAGGAGTACTTTAGATATCTCTTGTCATTTTTCCATTTTTTAAATTTGATACGAAAGCACGGATTCATATAGGATGATCCATTACCCCACGAGATCGAAATTTATAGCTTGCAAAGTATCTTATCTTAAGATAGAATAGCTCGTTATACGGTGTCTTTCGAAAAGTAGGAAGTCGTTCAATCAAAAAAAAAAAAAACGCAGGCCACGAATTTTTGCGAAATCGAGTCTCGAGAGTCGATCTTTCATTCCTGGATGTTAACAAAACGAATGTGCCGTTAATCATTTTAATTTACCGTAACACACTCGACGAACGATTCCGCGATTTAGGATCGATTCGATTTATTGTTACGCCTCGAAAAAAAAAATAGTACGCTCTCGATTCGCGAGTTGTATATCGTGTGTACACGGAATTTCCTTGGTTCTGTATTATTTCTACAATTGCGATTTCGATTGCCAAATTGTCCTTTGGCAATATCGTTCTCGCATTTGGGAAACTACGAACATCAATCACGAATGCGGAAACCTTTATGAGGAATACTAGAGCAGGGAAATTCCATCGCGTATTACCGATTAGTCATTGTTGCACAGCGGAAACAGCATTCAGCGAGACATTAGGTGCCTTTAGTTATCCCCCCAATTAACAGTGTGATTAATACAAAATGAAGACAATGTTTAATAAGGGTAGGTCGTATATTGACTCGTTCTTGATCGAAGAGAAGTATAGGAAACTGCAAACTGAAAAATATTTACATTCGAAATTATATTCTTTGAAATTATATTTTCTCTGCAAATTTTTGTTGGGAAGCTATTATATAATTATTAATTATCATATAATATTGATCTCTGGCGAAAATAAAAATTGGAACGTAAATTGAATGTAAGAGAAAAGTAAACAAAACTTCTAGAAGCGTAAACTTTTAGGAATCGTAAATTGGAACAACGTAAAAGGAGTGTTTTAAGAAGTAAACGCTTCTTTTACATTTCGCTGTTTGAATTTACGCTTTTTAGAAATTTCATTTCGCTTTCCCACTTCTATCACTTTCCCCTTGACTTACGCCCCGAGCTTGATTTTTGCCAGAGATAATTCAAGCACTACAATAAAGTGCTCTTCTTCAAGTGTTCTTCGGTAAATTTTAAGTGAAACTTAATAGTGATTTAATTATTATCTCAATAGAGAGATTCTCTCTAATTAATAGAAATTGCATTATATTACGTTACATTGGGCATTTTATATTTAATAAGATATTAATCTCTATATGATATTATAAAAGTTTAATTATTATTAAAACTCTGTTTTTCTAACTTTGTGAAGCTTTATGGCTAAAATAATTTTAATGTTAAAGAAAACTCAACACAAACGGTCGCGCCATTGAATTTTTCAGGTGCAAAGGTTGCTTGCAATCCCGTCAAAAAATGCGCAGTAATGATGAGACATTTTTAAGAATTGCTACGAAACTCAATGTAACCGAATAATCTAACTTGGGCGAATGACGAAGAATGAATGTCTTCTTCCGGTAGACTGTGATTTCCTTAAAACGAAGATAAACTCCCGGTTAAAACAGTAAAGGGAAGGGAAAAGGGCACATTATATTTATTTTATTTATTTATTTTTTTTTTTAAGGAATGGCTTACTGGATAAAAATAATAATTTCAAGAATACTCTTTCTCTCATTATTCCTTTTCGATATATAAAAACGGTTCATTTTGAGTTCTTCTAAAAATTCATTCCGACCGGTGCCCTCTTCTCTAGACGGCCCTCAACTCTCGCGCGGAGATATTTGCGGCAATGTAAGAGAAAAACTAAAACGTTTGTAACAATCGATCGTCAAGACTTTAAAATTATTCGTATCTGCGGAATGGCGAGTCCGGAGATCTTTTGTGAGAAAGCGCAACTTTGTCCCCACTGCATCGAACTGAACTTCATCATTTGTAATCGCCGCGTAATCTCCAATCGCGCCATTCTTCAATTTATATTGACGAGGGAGGGAGAGGGGAAAAGGACCGCGAAGACATTCCACAGGACGAACTTTCCTCGGCGCCACTCTAATTCCCGCAATCTACAGGGGACGGACTAAAGAATATGAACACTTGGCAAATACAGTACTTGTTTCGTTAATAAGAGGTTCACTCGCTATTTGCCTTTAATACAGATTCTATCCTTGGAATATTTCATGCTGTGTGTGTATGTGTGTGTGTGTATGATTTTATTCCAAAAAAGGACAGAATCTGTATCAAAGGCAAGTAGTGCCAATTCTTTGCCCAATAAAACAAATAGTGTATTTTCTAAACGTTGATATTATTTCCCCTGTAACTCCGCCACTCAACTAAATGGACACGATTAAATAGAAATATGAATATATACATATATACATATATATGTACGTATTATATATACATATAGTTTGTAGATCTCGCTAATTGTAATACTTCTACCGACGTAGACGCGAAGCACCTTTGTATCGTGAATTTTTGTCCTTTGTCGCGCGATGCGTTTGTAAATTGTGATCTTCGTCGAGAGATGATGATCGTGAGCGAAATGCTGTGATCGCGAGCCGATTAAGCGCTGATGAATGCGAGATGCTAAAACAAAGAGGGAAGCGATGTCTGAAA